GGGAAAGAGAGGGTGTGGAGGGCCTAGAGACGAGGGTTTCTAAACTCTGGTCGTTCACAATTTACCTGCACAACTTCTGTCACACCTACGCATTCTGCCAACTGTTCTTTCTAGCCTAAATATATGTTTCAAAATAGGGAATCCGTGTGGCCCGGCTGTGGGTGTATAAGGCCCCTGTGACTCCAGCTTATTGGTGTAGCCGCCAGCCACAGGGCTCCCCCTCCTGCACGAGGGGCTCCGCACGGGGAAACGGACCCGCTGCCCCGACAGTGGGCTGAGCGGTCCCACCCACGGGAGCCCAGCATCCCCGTCACAAATGCCAGCAAAAGGGAGCTTAGGGCTCTGACACAGCAGCCGCCACCCGGTGGTCCGCAGACCGCTGGGGGTCCTGAGGTCTGAAAGGCTGGCGACCGCTGCTCTAAGGGGTCCTGTCAGGTGAAAGCTGTAATGAACTGGAACCCAACTTGCCACTACCCTTTTTCCTGGTAGTTCATGAGAAAGGACCCAATAACAAGAGCGCTGTTTGGTCCAACCTGCAACTTCCAAGGCGTAGGACAGATAACGGCCAATCACCCACCCAGGCCAAGTGCCCGTCTCAGTGCAGAATGAGGACATTGAGCTATGGCTCTGTCGGTGCTAGCACAGCGAGGAGACTGTGTCTGACTTACAAGGGGGTAGGAGTGGGTGTGACTTCACTAGAGAAAGACATTTAGAAAGAGCTAAAATAGAAGAGGCTGGCAAAATCTTCACCAGAAAATAAAATCATTTCCTGAACAATCTGGTTAGGCAAATGATTATGATAAATGCGAAGAAAGTACACAAGCAAACAGTAAACAATCTACTGGGGAAAAAAATTAAGTATCAAACATGGTGGCTCCAATTCATTCAGACGATTTCACATTGATAGACTTAATAATGGGGGGGGGTGCTCCAACCTGCATGCAAAAAATGTCTCCATATTAGGGCCCTAATGTCAAGGAAAAATGCAAATTTCAAGTGCGGGCAGTCTCAGCACCACTACGCCCGTCCACACGGAACACTCACTCTGTAATACTAGCTATCAACATGTGACGATAAAGGCACCTCAAACACAGCACACCCAACAGCCCACCACGCTATTCCCTACCCCCAGCGCCCCAACCCCTTTCCTCAGTGTCATCTGCTGCAGTGAATGGTATCACCATATGGGTTCAGGCCCCAAGCCTAACGCCCAACCTGTTAATAAGGCCTCGTTTCCCTTCAAACTACACTGGGAACCTATTGCTCACAGCTCCCCCTCGCACCCGAGCCTAAGCCACACCCTCCTTGCCCGTCACCCTCAGCACAGACAGCTCAGAGAGCTCCCAGCTTGTTTCTCTGCCTCCACTCCTGTCTCCCTGTAGTCACTTTCCACACCACAGGCAAAGCGAGCTTGGAAACCAACAAATCAGATCATGCCCCACCCTCGCTCCAAACCTACCGTGCAGCGGTTCTCAACCCTGGCTGCACATTAGAATCACCTGGGAATCCTCGGGAATGAGGCCCAGAAATCAGGATTTTAAAAAAGATTCCCAGGTGATTCTAATGTGCAGCCAAGGTTGAGAACCACTGCTATAGTGGCTCCCATCCTCCTCCGTGAAATCTCAGCTCTTCACCTCAGCTACCAGGCTCCGCAGGGCCGGCCCTGCCTCTCTCTCATTTCACTCTGTCACCAAGACTGCCCCCGTCTCAGGGCCTTTGCACCGGCTGCCTCCCCAGAAGGCTGCCCTGAGGGCATCACCCGGGACCGTTGCCTGGCTCGCCCCCCCCGATTCCAGCCTCAACACAAGTGCCCCACACATGAGACCTGCTGACCCCCACAGCCAGCACCCTCTGACCCCGCACCTGCTTTCCCCTCTAACTAAGTCAAGTCACCGAGTTATTTTATTTGGACATGTTCTCCTCCCCCACTAGGATGTAAGGTGCTGGAAGGCGGGAACGGTCACTCCCTGCCCACCCATCACCTGAACCAACGACACACACACGCTGGGTCCTCCCTAGCAGGGGCTGCATAAACGAGTGAGCTCGGGCCGCGTCCCCAAAACAAGGAAGCGGGAGCATGAGGGGACATGCAGTAGCGCACGCACGTACTCATCGGAAATCTCGATGTTGAGCTTCTGCCGCGTCTGGCTGAGCGTCGTCCGGTACAGCTTGGTGGCCATCTCGATCAGGTGGTCGCTGCTGAAGAGGAAGTCCCCTTTGCTGGCCGCCTCCGAGCCCTGGGGACAAAGCGGGGCCGGACGGTGAGGAGGCGGCGCAGGAGGCGGGGGCTGGCAGCCGGCTGAGCGAGAACCACAGCCTCTCTGCGCATCGCTCGGGGCGCATCCCTCCCGAGTGAACGAATGACAGACAGCACTTCCTCCACGCCGCTCTGAGCACGTCCGCGGGGTCACCTACCCTCGCTCCCCAGGGTCCCCGGGAGCTGGCTGGGAAGCAGGCCGGGCATGGACCCGCGGTGGCTCCCGGTCCCCTGCAGGCCCGAGCACTGCCCTCACCGGGAGCGCGCTCTCAAAGCGCTGCTTAAACACCCCCGGTGATCCGGTTAAAGAAATCGGAGCAGTAACAACCCCAACAGGCATCCCCGGGCGCTGGCTCTGCTCAGCTGCACGAGGGACCCACTGGAAGCTTCTGGAAAGCTGGGTGCTGGCTCCCCTCCCAGACCCTGACCTGGTTGGACGGGGCTGTGGCCTGGGCAGCAGCGTTGCTTCCACGTGTGGCCGGGGCTCAGAATCCTCACGGTCTGATTATGCTGCCATCAGGCCCAGAGCCACAGCGGAGGAAACAGGCCGAACTAGGCCTACGGGATTGTCTCAAGGTCAGACTCTGCTAGCGAGGCGCACTACTAGCTACACGCGTGTCGCTAAACGTGAGGACTGTTTGCTAGCATGTTCATTTGGTGACTGTTTGCTAGGTGGCAAGCCCTATGTGAAGCGCTTTACATTTAATCCTAGAACAACACCTATGAAGCAGGTGCTGCTATTCTCCCCATTGCACAGAGGAGAAGAATGAGGCAGGCACGTGACAGCTACACGGCCTGGCCAAGGTCACTGCGAAGTCAGTGAGGCCGACTCCAGGGGCTCAAGCCAGAAGGTCCTGGTTAAGCTAAGAGCCCAGAACATAAAACATCTCCAGGTCCAAATACCAGGCAGTTGACCGCAGTCACATTCTTTCCTTAAAAACCCCCGAGATTAAAGACGAACAAGACATTTACGAGGTCGGCATGTGGATGAAACAACAGGAGGAAGCATCGTTTGAAACCGCTTCACAGTTCCACCCACTGGTGCTCAAAACAATGCCTATCGCAGCGATAGCTACTCGGTGAGACTGTGGCTCAAGCGAACAAGCCACGGAGCCACTCCTCTCCTTCAGTTACTGAGAAATCGAGCCTGAGCTTCTACCCAGCAGGGAATGCAGCCGTAACTTCCCACCAGTGAGGAGAGCATGTGACCTCCAAGCAGCAGGATCGTCCAGGTTTAGAACCTGTTAACTCGACGGCTGAGAGCGCGGACACAGGCAGAAGCCTGCCGGTCACGCCGGCGGAGGGCTCCTTACCGCCTTGAGGTGGATGGCGAAGAAGCCATCGTTCTGCGAGCTCATGGACACTTTGGTCACATCCACCAGGGGGACCTCCGACTTGATCTGGCCAGACTTCTGATCCGCAAGGAGGAGGTTGTTGTTTGTTAAGAGGAAAATCCGGGAGGTGCTCTAAACGAAACGAAACAAAACAGGATGCAAACCCGGTGATGGGAAATACCCCCAACGGCCCGTGAGTGTAAGGCATTAGTTATTTGCGGAAATGTGTATTTCATCCCCATACGCCTCAGCAGGCACACCTATGCGAACCGAGAACACAGGAAGCACAGGCAAGACATTTTAATTCACACGCGTTTCATCAGCAGCCATTCATAAAATGCCTCTGAACCTTAAAGGCTGGGGAGACAGCGCCCCTCACAGTCACTCCGCCGAGAACGTGAAATGCAAATATTAACATTCGGAAGATGACAGGGTCTGTCCCAGCTGACAAACGCGTCCCCCGGGTCTGCGGGGTGAGCCTTTACCTTCCCGTTCGCACGGTTGATTTTGTTGACAACCTCCGCGATGATGATCTTTTCCTCAATGGCGTCTTTGAGTTTCTTGTACTTGGGGTTCTTGTTGATCTCCAGGTAAGCGCCTTGGAATGGCTGGCCAACACTAAAAAGAAAGGAAAAACCAAATCCCTCAGGTCGGACCCGGTGTCAGATGGAGGTACTGCCGGACACAGACAACAGTCAGCTGATTCGAATGAGTGTCTGCCGGCTCCATAAAAAGAAAATTTATTTTATGTTTTATACGTCGTATTTGCATCTGTCCTAAATATACGTTGGAAATAGAGCCTGAAACCTATTTCAAATACACACACACACACACACACCACAAATATATATTTAAATATGTTTTTATTGAATTTTTTTTTTTAGAGAGAGAGGAAGGGAAAGGGAGAGATAGAAACATCATTGCACACCCCCCGCTGGAGATCGAGCCCACAATCTGAGCATATAGCTGGACCGGGAATCGAATCAGTGGCCTATTGGTTCATGGATTAATGCCCAACCAGTGAGCACACTGGCCAGGCTCAAATATATATATATATATTTTTAAAAAATATATTTTATTGATTTTTTACAGAGAGGAAGGGAGAGGGATAGAGAGTTAGAAACATCGATGAGAGAGAAACATCGATCAGCTGCCTCCTGCACACTCCCCACTGGAGATGTGCCCGCAACCAAGGTACATGCCCTTCACCGGAATCAAACCTGGGACCTTTCAGTCCGCAGGCTGACGCTCTATCCACTGAGCCAAACCGGTTTTGGCTCAAATATATTTTTGATGTGATCCTGGCATTTGGGAGGCAGGACTTTGATAAAAATCTCATCCCATGGAACAATCAAGCTAAAAATCACTCATATGAATGGCACCCAAGAGCCAAGTGCAGGGCTCACCTGAAGGAAAGGCCGTTCCTCTGACCTGTGACTATCAAGGTAACAGCTGCCCACACAGGGCTTATTGATCCCTTTAAACAACATGCAGCAACGGAACAAAGAGCACAAACCATCGCCATCGCCTGATCCAAAGAAAAAGCCCACTTTCTTGCAGAGTAAGAAAACCAGTAACCTTCGGGGGGAGAACAGGTCCAGAGCGATAGGTCTTAGAAGAAAACTATAGAAATTCTGGCTCCAAGAGGCAACGCATGAAAGAAAAATCAGGTCTCCTCCTATGATGTGCCCCTAAGTGGCCACGTAAACATTTAGAACCGGAGCAGTTTTCTTTCAAACAAAGTGCTTCCCACAAGAGGCGTGACCGTGCACATGCGCTAAGACACGATTTCCCTCGAGCCCTGCTGGGGGACACGCTCAGGGCAGCTTCTTCAAGGACGCACAAGCACACCAACAAAAACAAAACAGAAAAACCCTACCGCTTCATTCTGAGCCGGAAAGTTCTGGCAATTTGCAAATACAACGCTAAACGCTTGTGTTGGGGGTGGAGGATGGGGAAGAAAAATCCGTGTAGGTGGTCAGTTTTACAGCTCCCAGGATAGGAGAGGCCGACACCCATGGGCCGAGCTTCACACAGTGGATGGGGGGAGGGTACACCCGGATGGACAAGGCCGACCCCATGGGCTGCCCTTCGCAGCAGAGGGAGGCCCAATCATCCCACCCCAGCTGCCGTGGGCGATACCCGCCCCCATTTGGCTTGACGTTGTTAACATTTTTGTTGTTGTTCACATTCAAATGTGTTTTCAATAATAAAAAGTGCTAAGAGCCTTTGAACTGGTTTCTCCAAAAATGCATTTTTCTCCCTCCAGTTAAGAGTCAGCCACAGGGAATGTTAATTAAGAAGGTTACTCTACATGTTAAAAATATAAAGGAAAATGTTAAATAAAACTAGCTTCTGGAGAAAGCATCGAGACAGTGCTCCCGCCTGTGGACGCTGCATACAGCAGGCCTCCTGGCGGATGTGGGATCGAGACTCCACGTTTGACTTGGAAGAACACATGCCACCTCGAGCCGCCCGGCCAGCTCACCAAGGAAGCTGTGTCCCTTCAAACACTGAAACCAAATGAGTCTGCCGGCTTCTGTTCTTTTAATCCTCTAAAAGGGAGAGCTTCCAAATGTGCGTGAAGACACAGAGAACACACATGTACCATATGTAAGATAGGTGAATAGATTTAGCGTATAATGCATTTTCATTTCTAGGCCATTTTTGGGGGGAAACGAAACGTTGCTATAGATTTGGCCTGTAACGGTACAACCTGCTTTTCCATAAATACCAGATGAAGAGGAGATAGGAATTCTGGGGGGAAATGATGAACTGGGGGCGGGGGGCACGTGTAAGACTATCTGATGAGCATCTTTACCAGGGAGAGGAATTCACGTGGCGAACGTGCCCTGGGTATGCCTTCCTTTACTGAGTAGTCGTGTCTACAACAAAGGAGCCAAACTCGCTGCACAGGCCTCGGCAGTCGTGCCCGGCAGGTTAGCAGCCCGTGGGCCACCACAGACAGAACTCAGAAAGTGTACACTGGCTCGCTCTTATCATGGCTCTTAAAAATGAATTCTGACCAGCTCACTAAATAAAGCAGGAAGACTGGAATGGCGATGACAGTAAATAGCCAACAGAAACTGGGCTAGACTCTGAAAACTACGGAAAGTAACAGGGCTTTACAATGCCAATTTATCTTAGTAGCCTATACGATTTTCATTTTAAAAAGTGACTTCTAATTATTATTATTTTTTAAATGTGTTTTTATTAGTTTCAGAGAGGAAGGGTGGAGAGAAACATCGATTGTCTGCCTCCTGCACGCCCCCTATTGGGGATGGAGCCCGCATCTAGGGCCCTGAGCTGGAGTCAAACCATGACCTCCTGGTTCATAGGCCAACGCTCAACCACTGAGCCACGGCAGCCGGATGTGACTTCTAATTATTCAGTGAAGTGTTCGAGCTAATGCCAATGGAAAAGAGGCAAGAAACGGCCATTGCTCCGAAGTGTTTGTTATTTATACCCAGCTGCCCATAAAATAACGCACAGAATTAAACATCTCTCATGCATCTCTGAAATCTCTAGTAGGAAAGACCTGCAAATACTTGAGAAGTTTTTAAAATGCTGACTTCCATGAGTTAGCACAGCCACCATACCTCGACGGGTACAAAGCCTTCTTGTCTTTGAAGAGTTCACTGGCTTCTAGCTTCTCCTCGTAGATGAGCTTCTGCTGGTCTGTGAACTGGTCCCTGTACTTTTTACACTGCAAGGGATGAAAAAAAGGAAAAGTAAGACATCACTTACACAAACTGGCCATCACTCCCTCTTAATGGAATCAGTCCACGTAACAGCGGCGAGAATAAACGCGAACGAACTATGCATGGAAAAGCCTCACAGCGCTGTTCCTCTGTCGGTTCACTGCTCACAGTGCCGGCTGGGGACACTCCTCCCAAACACAGAAGCGTCCTGCAGGCCGGCCTCTCCTCTCTCATCTGCTCACTACGACGGCGGTCCCTGCCACCCCTCAGTCCCGAGGCCGCCACCCTCTTAGAGACTCGCAGTAAGAAAACCACCGTGTAAACCCATAGTTTACAGGATTCGTCCACATCGTGCGAAGATGTTCACGTTATTATTTCTTTCTCCTACAGTATCGTTAGACAAGCGGAATCTGAACGGGAAAGACGACACGGCGGCGCACACCCCTTCCCCGGACAGGGGGAGGCCAAGGGGCACGCCTGCTGCTCCAGGGCTGCTCACGGAAGCCACGCGCGGTCCCCGGCGCAAAATACCCCCGTCCTCAAACAGCTCCCTCCCGGCCAGAGGCAGAGGCCGCAGATGTTCCCTTCCATAGGACTCTTCGCAAAAGAACAGAACAAACCCGCGGTGAGAAGGCTCCAAAGAGAAGAGGCTCTTTACCCGCCACAGGTGGAAGATCCTCCTCAGCTCCTTGTGCGTGGAATCCAGGAACAGGTAGGGCCTTGGCGGCCAGTTCTTGTCTATCGGCGACAAGGAGGGCATCTTGCTTTTCATTTCCAGGAAGTATTTTTGCACCTGCGTTGGGTTTGACAGGAAATACCAGGGGAGTGAAATAGTATCAGAAAAGTCCTTGTTTTTCATAAACCAGAATGAAACTGAGCAGCCTCCGCTGGGTCTGGGCCAGTCTCGGGCCCGACAACTCCGCAACGTGAAGCCTCCACTCCAGTCCCCGTGCTGCCTGCGGAAACCTGGGCTCCACCCAACGGTTCAGACGGAAGAAGAAAACGGACACTCGTCCCAATATGAACAGCAACACTGACTCCAGCGAACACCGGAGAGCTGTGCTAGTCACGTGGCTCTCTCTACCTAAACCGTAAGCAATTCAAATAAGACAAAGTAAACGAGCCAGCTCATCAGTCACAGGTGACACTTCAGGTGCTCCGGAGCCCCATGTGGCCATGCGGCCGGTGGCTGTCCCACGGCACCGCAGACATAGCCATCTGCATCCTTCCACCGGCCCAGTGGATGGCACTGCCCGCCAGCCCTCCAGCGGGGCCGGCGGGAGGTGTCAGGCCATTGTTCTGAGTTAACCCTCCAGCACTCGTGAGCTCGGCGCTGTGATCCCCCCTGAGAATGAGCTGAGGCCCCGGAGTGAGGAGTCGCTCACCTCGCTCCCATGAGAGGCGGGCTCACCTCCGACGGCACAGGGCACAGGGACTCCGGGCCCATCTGGCCGGCTGGGCCCTACCACCGCCTTCTCTCCTGCACCCCGCTCCCCACTGCCCGCTGGCCAGCCTGGACCCGAGGCAGCTCAGGGTAGGACCTTAGTATCCCCCAAATTCCCCTGCTGAAACCCTACTCCGCAACAGGAAGGCATCAGGGACGGGGCCTCTGGAGGTAATGGAGTTTAGAGGCCACGAGACTAGAGCTCCCGTGACGGGGCCGGTGCCCTAATCAGAGGAGATGGGAGGGTTATGGCAGCAGCTTCCCTCTCCTCCCAGCTGCCATCGCCACAGCCGACAGCCTGCCCTCGGCCGCCCGCCTCCAGGTCTGCGAGAAACAGATGATCATCGAGAAACAAATGCTCATCGTTGCAGCCGCCCGGTCTGCAGTGCTGCGGTTAGAGCATCCTGAACTAAGACACCCGACTTTCTCGAGCTCATGTTCCCTCAGAGTAGGTTCTCCCCGCCAAATAAAAAAGTTCTATTTAAAAAATGACATCCTACTAACTACACGTGGGCCCCGGATAGCTCTTCCTGGGACAGTTCTGCTGGACGCGAGGGGAAGGGTGAGAGCCACCCCGCTCAGAGTGGCAGCGAGGGTGAGGCGTGGCAAGGGAGTCGCCTGTGACAGTCGGTGCCGTTAACGAGCTGCCCCACGAACGCCAAGGAGCCCCGGGCAGGACGCAGACTTACAATTCTCTGAATCGTGAACTCGTAGATTTTCTTCCCGGCGTTGGCTCTGAAGAACTTCCTGTACTCCCGGCGCACCTGAGGGAGAAGCGGGCGCGGGGTCAGCAGGGGCCCGGCCGCCATGGAGGCCCTGCACGTCCACTCAACACGACAGCGGGCGCCTCTCGGATGGAGCGGGACAGCTGGCGCACACCGGGCCCCGAGCTTTAGGCCAGAGGAGGAGAAAGGCAGACATGCCCGGTGGCAGTGCCCAGCGTTTCGCTATTTTAAAGCCTTTTAACTAGTTTTTCAGAAACCTGATGATTTGATGAGAAACATTTTACAGGCATAGTGGCCAACGCATCACAGATCAAGGCACGCTTCGGGAAAAGGTGACGGAAGGCCATCTTCATCTCGAATTGTTCTTCAAAGGGGAAAAAAGGCCTAAAGAACTACACTGCCGTTCCCCAAAGCCTTGCCTAGGGAGATGGAAATGGAAGGGCACTGAAAATAATAGAATTAGATTTGAACTAGCATCGTCTTCCCTCTCACTGCATCGATTTTTCTCTCACCCCCGCTCCTACTGGCCTTCCTACAGAATACTTCCGTGCCCTGAAGACACCGCATGACGGCCCTCTTTCCTCCCTGCTGCCCAGCTGGACTTCGCTGTCTGCTAACGTCGAACTAAACGCCTGCGCCAGGTGTCTGCTGGCTGCACGAACAATACAGTGAAATTTTGAAACCGAGGGGAAGATACTTAAAATATTTATTATCATTTAGTTATGAATGTCTAAGAGGTTTTCTCAAGATTTCCCGGAGCTAGAGTCTCCTTTGCCTACGTGCACCCTCACCTGAAGTGGGAAGCACCACTTAGAAATACATTAGACTCTACCTCCTGGCCCTTTAAATACAGCTCCTCATGCTGTGACCCAACCATGAAATTATTTTCATTGCTACTTCATCACTGTAATGTTGCTGCTGTTATGAATCATCATGTAAATATCTGATATGCAGGACGGTCTTAGGCGACCCCTGTGAAAGGGTCGTTCGACCACCAAAGGGGTCGCGACCCACAGGTTGAGAACCGCTGCATTAGAGGCCTCGTTGGCGTGTAAAGTCCTCTTATTTGTCAAAATCTGTACCATCAGCGGAATCCCTTGGTTCCGATGCTGAGCAGCCAGAGCGCCGGTCACTTAGAGAAGGCTCCGCCCAGCAGCCGTCAGAGCAGGGGAGGTGGGGGAAGGGCACTGGAGCCCGACCCCCCGGCGGGGCGGGCACTGCAGGCCTGGGCCAGCTCTGAGCTCAGCTGCTGAAATTCTGTCTCACGCATTAAAAAAACACGTCATCCCCCTAAAGATGACATAAAACAGAACTTCGTAACAGAGAGTCTTAAATAAGACATGCTGCCTCAGCATTACTTTAAAGCTAGCACTGAAAGCAGCACTCCACAACCCTCGCCGGTCTGGCTCCGTGGTTGGAGCATCGGCCACTGGACCCAAGGATCGTGGGTTCGACTCCCAGTCAAGGGCACGTACCTCGTACCTCGGTGGCAGGGTCCCAGCCCCGGTCGGAGTGTGTGCGGGAGGCAACCCATCGATGTGTCTCCCTCACGTTGATTTTTTTTTTTTTTCTCTCTCTCTCTCTCTCTTCCTCCTCCCTCCCTTCCACACTCTCTAGAAATCAATGGAAAAAATATCCTTGGATGAGGATTAAAAATCATAATAAAAAGGAATAAAGATACGTATCACAATAGGATCAGAAAATATTAGTGTGCAGCTTCGTTTCCAAAAAGAAACACGATTAGGCAAGATGGCCTGTCAGAGCTGGCGCAGACCATGAGCAAGCGCACCCGCTTTTCTGGGGTTAGTGAGTGCGAGGCCCGGGCCCGCCCTGGACAGGAGGGGGAGGAAGTACCTTCAGTCCAAGCCAGTAAGCCCAAATGACAGCGACCGCATGCCTGCGCCTAGCCTCCTCCTTCAAGCGTTTCAACTCCCTCCGAGCCTGGAACGTTTTAGACGGTAAATGAGAGAGACAGCCCGAGGCAGACAGCACAGACCAGGAGACACCACCACACAGAGGGCCGCGCAGGAGCGAGGGGTCAGGTGGCCGAGGGGCCCCGCACGGTCATGTCGGCGTCAGGCTGGTGCGGCCCCGGTGTTTTTGGGGCGTGGAGACCGACCCAGGGGAGGGCAGTCCGCGTGGCCCCGAGGGAGCACGCCTCCGCCCCTCACGTCCATCCTTTGCCCTTTTCCCCCCATTCTCCCTCCCTCCTCACAGCCTTGAGCTCTGAGCGGCTCCTAAGAACTCTAGTAGCCTTGCCTTTGCTGCCGGCACGGGGGCTGAGGGGGAGCCCCGCGTTCGTGCGTTCAGACGTGTAAAAAGGCAACCATTTAAAACGGGAGGAATAAAGGTTGTTTCTCCCCAAGTTCAACCAGAAACACAAAACTCAGAATTCCTTCCAGTTAGAAAACTGCAAGAAGCGTATTTTCAAGATGTAATCTTAGCACGGGAAATGTACCGAGATAAAAAGTGGAACCATCTGTAGGTTTAAAAAGCCATCTCAGGGCAGCGTTCCTCGAGACATGTGGTTTTAAGGGGCAGGACAACCAGGCGCTGGCTTCACACTACGCGGTGGGGCATCGGCCTGTGGACTGAAGGGTCCCGGGTTCGATTCCAGTCAGGGCACATGCCCAGGTTGCAGGCTCGGTCCCCAGCAGGGAGGCGTGCAGGAGGCAGCCAATCACCGATTCTCTCTCTTCATTGATGTTTCTCTCTCTCTCTCCCTCTCCTCTCTGAAATCAATGAAAAAATATTTTTTTAAAAAACAGATAAAGGGACTAGTGTGTTCTTCACCGATTGCCAAGGGAAAACACACAGGAACAACTTTGGTGAGGTTGTGGCAGTGAATTAGAATACAATCTGGTAAGTATGAGGGCAGAGATGTGCATGGAGGATTCCAAGGACATAAAACAGTTGCACCAAGTCCAGATGGGACAATTCTCTCTCTCTCTCCCTCTCCTCTCTGAAATCAATGAAAAAATATTTTTTTAAAAAACAGATAAAGGGACTAGTGTGTTCTTCACCGATTGCCAAGGGAAAACACACAGGAACAACTTTGGTGAGGTTGTGGCAAAGTCGGACCGTTCTGGGCCAGCGTCCTCTCTTCTCGCTTTTCTCCCACGATGGGCCTAGGATGCTCACGTGACTTACAGACCCGGGACTGTGCTGCTGGGTGGTTCACATTTTTAGCAGGGACGACCTCTGATTTCCCGAGTAACAAAATCATCTAAAGCCTCGGCCCCCTGGGGCACAGGAAACATTCACAGCGCCCAGGTCGCTGCCTGGGGATCAGCCAGGGCCTCCAGGGGCCTTTGTTTCGGAAAACTAACGGCTGATGCGGAAATTCCTGGGATTCTTCCGTGGCCACCCCAGCTGGCCGTGTGTGGACGTGGCTTCCCGTTAAATCACAGATGGCAATTCTTTGCACATAGAGTATTTGGCTTGGAATCATCAATGGCTGCCTGGCCACAGGGAGCCGAAAACATCGCTTCATTTGCAGATCACTACGTTCTAAGGCATGCGTGAAAGGGGTTTCTGCCGTCCACACGTGGTAGCAGCACACCCACGAAGGCCCCAATCCGAGCGCTCTCCTCATGCCCCTCGCCCCCCGGGGATCCCTCCAGAGAGCGGCCAGTACGTGGCAGGGCAGGGGGGGAGGAGGAGGGGGGGGGAGGAAAAACTAACATGCAAGCTATTTGAGAGTTTTAATGAAACAGCAACTACCCTAGCACCTCATTAGTAAGCATGGTCTTGTCTGCCTATCTCTGCATGCGGCAGCTGCCCCGGCACTAATGCCACCTACGGCGCCGGGCCCATTCACGCCAGCCGTAAGGACGTGCACCGCGTGCGCCGTGCCAACTGCAGTCACTCATCCTGATAGGCGAGCGCTACGGGCTGGTGACTGCCCATCCCGGGACGGGGACGAGAGGCGCGTCAGTACCTTCGATCCAAGCCAGAAAGCCCAAATCACTGCAATAGCGTGTTTATTCCTAGCCTCCTCCTTCAGCCGGCTCAGCTCCCGCCGCGCCTGCAAGCGTGTGAGAAGGAGTGACAGAGAGCGTGAGGCGGGAAAGGTGGCTGCGACAGAGGAGGACAGACAGACACCGGTCACCGCCACCCGTAAACACGAGCGCGCGTGCCACCACCCGCACCGAACGAGCGTCAGAGAGCGAGAGGCAGTGCGTGCTCAGCTTAGCCGACGGTGCTGCCCGGGAGAGGGCCCCTCGCTCT